TGCCAGCGTTGGTGCCTTGGCTTGCCACCGGTGCAAGGGCGGCCGGCGATTGTCGAGCGCTGCGCGCACGGCTGCACACAGAAGAGGATGGAGTGAGAACTCTTCTGAGTTGGATTAATGCAGGTCGCGTACCTCGGCGCGTTGGTGGTGAGGTTTAAAGCCGAGGTGCCTCCCGAGGCCGACCAAAGCAATCTTCTGGATTGCACTTGCAGAAGATTTTCGTGTTACTGATTGTTTCATCAAGATCTTGATGAATTTTAAATGGTTGGCACGTACGGCGGGACTGTGTAGCCACAAATGGAGTGATAACAAAGGCGTGCTGAACGTCAGACACACGGCAGCGCTTCATCGAACGCGAGGAGATTTCGATTTGTTCAAATGTTGCGAGTTTTGTTTGTTATTCAAGCAGGAAACGGGAAAAGGAGCGAAAATTTACCTCACACTCAAGCTGCAAATATGAATAACGAAAATCAGCTGACTCATGCAAATGTCCACACCCCTGGCTGTGATTGATTGACTCTACACTTCCCTCCAAGAACCACTTCACACCATCCCCCTTGACATCCCTAATAGCATCTTGGCACATTTACACCTTGTCTGCCCTGATGCTCACCAGTTCTCCCTATCACTATTTTCATATACACCAAAAGAAAGAGTTTCATGCTGTCACTACACAAGCTCACTATATCATGGTGATGCTATTTTTTTGACCTCCATACTTGATCACTAATCAACAACAGGCTGCAGGTTATGTACAACATTCATGTCCTGATTGCCCAAGAAACCACTTTAGGCGGTGTGACTTTGGCTGGAGAGTTGGCAGAAAGTAGGGGAGAGGCTAATGGAATCAACCTGGATGACAGCAAGTTGCAATCTCATCCCAGTTTTAGATGGGATAAACATGCTTTGATCCTCAAACATTTTTACCAAACTTTTGTGGATTGGCGCAGGCATAGGAGAAAATAGAAAAATATAAAAATATATTTTCAAAGGAATTGGTGAAGGGAGGCGGTTTGCTCAAGTCACACGACACCCAGGGGCCAATTTGCTCATTTCAGCAGACAACGAACATGCTGGACGAACGGCGATGCATAGACGAATCGCCCAATCTCGGCCTGGGAATCGGGCTCGAGGAAGTGCTGGCGGACAGCCCCATGGCACGCAACAGGCTTCGCGAGGTCCAGAAAGGCGTTGAGGACTGGGGCGATGACCTCCTGCGCCTCACCTCTGCCGCCACCAAACTCGGCTCCGCTGCCAAAGGTGCCTTTTCCATCCATCCATCTCCATCTCCATCTTTCTCTCTGCGGAACTCTCCTGTTCTACGCGAGCCTTGGACTTG